ATGGTTTCCTCCTGGTTCTCCTTGCTCCTGGTGACAGCAGAGCCCAGCATACCTTTAGTCAATACGCCTCCTCAAGACGTCAGATTTGCATTTATTTCTTTAGTTTTGTACGAAAAATAAACTTTAAACTACCTCGACGGATGTTTGTCCCTTTAGTCATGTATAAAAAACAAAAATGTAATGTCACTTTGCCATGTGTTTCAAAAAACACCAGAAAGTAACTAAATAGTTTTTGTACATGACTAAATGGATACACGCCCGTCGAGGTAGTTTAAGGTTTATTTTTCGTTTTTCCTTACAGCTGCTGGTTTCTCTGACTCTTGGCCCTTAGATCCTGTTTTTCCCTCCATGCTTCGCTGCAGCAGGATCACTGTCTTCCTCCTCTGAACTAATCTCATTTCCTCCCTCCTCTCCTGCTCTTCCTCTGAGCTTCTCCTCTTTGTTTTTTTCTTTATAAACCGTTCTATCTGTAACCAGTGTCAGTACCAGATCTGCTCGGGGCCCCGCCCCTTCTTATCACGCCATCATATGGAGGAGGACAAAAGACGTTCTTAAAAATTACTTTCGTAGAGATTTTAGACAAAGAAAACCGTTATTCTACTTGTAAAAAACAAACGGTTGTTCTTGACATGAATTTAAAAGTAGTGTAGCTTAATATGGCTAACTGAGCGAGCTAAAAGAGGCTAACCTGTTAGCTACAGCTAGCCGCAGAGCTTCCCAGCTCTATATCAGGGTCTAATTGTTGCTTTGTTCACTATAAACAGATTTTTTTCAGTTTTGTTATCGATCAGGTTAAACTCCTCTTTTACAAAATGTGGCAAGATTTTCAGAAGCAGAACCGAGCAGATCTGGTAGCTACTGCGGAACGTCTTCTAGAAACGTCTACTCGGATAATTCCTGGTTCGTCTCCTTCCTGTTCGCAGCCGAGTCGGTGGATGGGGCGGCGCCGTGCGAGCCCAGCTGCCCGGTCCTGGAGAGCGACTTCCTGCTGAACGGAGAGCTGGAGTTCGGGTCGTCGGAGATGGCGGGGCTGGACAGAGACGGAGGTGGGTGGCGCCCCCTGCAGACGGGCTCAGGTCTGTCGGTTCACAGCTGACCATGTTTGTGCTTTAAGGAGTGACGGTGTTCTCTCTGAGCGCGGAGGACGACGAGCCCTCGGCTCCTACGGCCGCCGCCTTCCCCGCCTTGCTGTCCTGTAAAGGCTGCGGCCAGCTGCTGGGGGACACTCCTCTGGGGGCCGGACTGGGCCTCGGTAACCGACCTTTCTGGTTTCCCCTATGCATCGCTCTAGACTTCCCTCTCAACCATCCTTCGCTGTTCCTTCTCCAGGTGTGGGCTTGGACCTGGGGGCGGAGCTCTACTGTCTCAGCTGCGAGGAGAAGCAGCAGAACTCCGCCTCCACCCCCTCCCCTCAGGGGGACCCCTCTCATCCCTCCACCAGGAAGAAGAAACCCGTCAGTAAAGACGGCGTCCCCTCCAAGCTGTTCTCCTGCTCTCTGTGCACCTTCACCTCGCGCTACTCCAACCACCTGAAGCGCCACATGAGGATCCACGACGGCCAGAAGCCGTACCGCTGCCCCGTCTGCTCCTACGCATCCGCCCAGCTGGTCAACCTGCAGCGCCACCTGCGCACCCACACCGGGGAGAAACCCTACCGCTGCCCGCAGTGCAGCTACGCCTGCAGTTCCCTGGGCAACCTGCGGAGGCACCAGCGCATGCACACGCAGGAGAAGGAGAAGAAATGGGGGAGGAGGAGGACAAAAGGTGGAAGTGAAGGAGGTAAAGTGGCGCTCAGATGGAGAAACCGACGTTTTTATTTCTGATAAAATAATCTGATTTCATTAGATTTAACGTAAATAACTTCTTAACTTACGTAACGTAAATAAATATAACGTATATCTAAAACTCTTTCACGCTTCTTTAATATAGAAGCACTTTTGTTTTTTTGTTACAAAGGTAATAAGGTCTTGTCCTGGAAGTATTTGACTGTTACACCTGTAAAAGGTAAATTGCTCCAATAGCTCCTGTGGGCGTGTTCGCTGCGGTCGGAGGTTATTTAGAAAGAACAGGAGTCTGAGCTGCGCCTCCGTGTTGCGGAGCTTCTCATATCTCTGACGGAGCAGAAAGCAGAGAAAGAGGAAGAGGAAATGGTTGGTTGGTGGAGCTGAACGTGAACCTCTGCTGACCTGATGGATGCTGAGGGGAACGCCTCCATCAGCAGCCGCTGGATCACATCCTGAACCGCTTTCTCTCTCTGTGCTCCTCAGAGCTCACCCTCAGGGTGTCCCAGGACTCCTCCTACCTGCGGACCCTGGGGGGCCTGGGCGCTCCCTCGGGGCCCCTCCCGGTGCTCCTCTTCCCCCTGTGCTGCCGGCTGTGTGGCCTCACCCTGGAGGAGGCTGACCTGGACGGGGAGAAAGACGGAGGGGAGGCGGAGGGGGAGGGGGGACAGGTGAGAGCAAGATCTTTAATCTCTTGTATCCATAGCAACAGCAAACAGCCAAAGTTCCCGCTCCTCTTTCAGGTGTGCCGTCGCTGCAAAGACGGGCCCCCCAGGCGTGGGCGGAGGGGCTCCAAGCTCTACCGCTGCCCCCACTGCCCCTTCCTGTCCCACTACCCCAACCACCTGAGCCGCCACTCCCACACCCACTGTGAGGAGAAGCCCCACCGCTGCCCCCACTGCTCCTACACCTCCTCCCACCCTGACAACCTCAAGCGCCACATGCGCGTGCACACCGGCGAGAAGCCCTACCAGTGCCCGTCGTGCAGCTACGCCTGCGGCAACCTGGCCAACCTGCGGCGCCACCAGCGCATCCACTCGGGGGCCAAGCCCTTCCGCTGCGGCGTGTGCGGCTACCGCTGCAACCAGAGCATGAACCTGAAGAGGCACGCTCTGAGGCACACGGGGGAGAAACCGTACGCCTGCGCCGAGTGCGGCTACACCACGGGCCACTGGGACAACTACAAACGCCACCAGAGGAAGCACGGACACCACACGGACAGCTGGGAAAAGCCGGCCCCCCAGAGCCCGGGGCCGCAGCGGGACGAGCCCTAGAAGGAGACATCTGACCCTACAATATGACGGAGACAATCAGGATTCACAGTTTAAACCGGCATCTGATTTATCTTTAGATCCTAGAGACGGCTCCAGGAAAACGCCTTAAGACGCTGCCGCTGTTCTGTCAGACCAGTATACCCATAGACAATACTTAATTCCTTTATCTCGTTAGTTTATGTCGTTAGTATATCTCGTTAGTTTATCCCTTTAGTTTATCTCATTAGTTTATCCCTTTAGTTTATCTCGTTATTTTATCTCGTTAGTTTATCCCGTTAGTTTATCTCGTTAGTTTATCCTTTTAGTTTATCTCGTTAGTTTATCTTGTTAGTTTATCTCGTTAGTTGATCCTGTTAGTTTTTCTCGTTAGTTTATCCCTTTAGTTTGTCTCGTTAGTTTATCCCTTTAGTTTATCTCGTTAGTTTATCTCGTTAGTTTATCCCTTTAGTTTATCTCGTTAGTTTATCTCGTTAGTTTATCCCTTTAGTTTATCTCGTTAGTTTATCTCGTTAGTTTATCTCGTTAGTTTATCCCTTTCGTTTTTTCTATTTTTCGTTCAAAACTGAAGGGATAAACTCGGGGTATGCTCATCTGAGAGAACTCCGGTCCTCCTCCTCAGAACTTTAACCTCTGCACACAGAAACATTATTTTGTAGTTAATCCTGTCGAAAACGGGCCTCAGAGACGGTTGCACAGTTTTAAATATGCAGTATGATGAATGTGTGAGAAACTCAAGTGCCTTAAACAGAGTGAATTTCTGCACTATTTTTTTTTTTTGCACAGAGATAATCTGAACTCTCCATTTTCACTCTGATTCGAGATCAGCAGCTTTATACTTTTATTTTTTACTCTTGCTTCTCTTCTGCACAGTCTCGTTTCCTGCTAATTAGTGACGCTAATGACAGATCAAGGATGTTTGCAGTTTATCGACTGCATTTGATTGTGATGTTCTGAATGACCTGTGATGTGTCAAAGCCTGAATAAAAAAGAAAGATCTACTGTATTTTATTATGTTGTTTCTGTCCAAATGGAAATAAACTGATCTGAATTAAACAATAAGTGACTGAACTAAATACCAAAACATTTTACTTCATATATTCTGAACTTTATTCCTTAAATTATTAACTTTTTATTTTAAAATCATGTTATTTATCAACATTGATGTAATAATCCAAGTGCTTTAAATGTGTTATTTCTCCTTTGATCTTAGTTTATTATTGTGTTCTTTAAAGGAAAAGTATGTTCATCCAATAAAAATGGTCCCATTGTTCTGGCAAGAACTTTCCAGTCCAGATAAAGCTGTTCAAGTTGTCAAAAGTATAACACTTGTTTGTTGTATATGCATCAATGTAATAAAGATGGGTTACATCTGTTAACAAGTAATGTGGTAGTATAATGCAAGTTTTCATCGAAAAGATAAATCCACCACGAGAAGAGGTTAAAGTGTGACAGGGCCTGTGGTGTGATTGTTAAAGCATCGGCTCTGAAACTAAGAAGCTCATGAGTTCAAATCCCTCAGAAGTGAACTTAATATTTTTCTAACAACTGTAGAAGAAGAAACAAAAACAAAAAGATAAATGCGCCCGGAGAAATGTCTAAATGTCCACAAGTGTGGCCTGGATGTTGAAGCATTGGCTCTACAACTAGAAGATCATGGGCTCTAATCCCACTATTATCTTNTCTCGTTAGTTTATCCCTTTAGTTTATCTCGTTAGTTTATCTCGTTAGTTTATCTCGTTAGTTTATCCCTTTCGTTTTTTCTATTTTTCGTTCAAAACTGAAGGGATAAACTCGGGGTATGCTCATCTGAGAGAACTCCGGTCCTCCTCCTCAGAACTTTAACCTCTGCACACAGAAACATTATTTTGTAGTTAATCCTGTCGAAAACGGGCCTCAGAGACGGTTGCACAGTTTTAAATATGCAGTATGATGAATGTGTGAGAAACTCAAGTGCCTTAAACAGAGTGAATTTCTGCACTATTTTTTTTTTTTGCACAGAGATAATCTGAACTCTCCATTTTCACTCTGATTCGAGATCAGCAGCTTTATACTTTTATTTTTTACTCTTGCTTCTCTTCTGCACAGTCTCGTTTCCTGCTAATTAGTGACGCTAATGACAGATCAAGGATGTTTGCAGTTTATCGACTGCATTTGATTGTGATGTTCTGAATGACCTGTGATGTGTCAAAGCCTGAATAAAAAAGAAAGATCTACTGTATTTTATTATGTTGTTTCTGTCCAAATGGAAATAAACTGATCTGAATTAAACAATAAGTGACTGAACTAAATACCAAAACATTTTACTTCATATATTCTGAACTTTATTCCTTAAATTATTAACTTTTTATTTTAAAATCATGTTATTTATCAACATTGATGTAATAATCCAAGTGCTTTAAATGTGTTATTTCTCCTTTGATCTTAGTTTATTATTGTGTTCTTTAAAGGAAAAGTATGTTCATCCAATAAAAATGGTCCCATTGTTCTGGCAAGAACTTTCCAGTCCAGATAAAGCTGTTCAAGTTGTCAAAAGTATAACACTTGTTTGTTGTATATGCATCAATGTAATAAAGATGGGTTACATCTGTTAACAAGTAATGTGGTAGTATAATGCAAGTTTTCATCGAAAAGATAAATCCACCACGAGAAGAGGTTAAAGTGTGACAGGGCCTGTGGTGTGATTGTTAAAGCATCGGCTCTGAAACTAAGAAGCTCATGAGTTCAAATCCCTCAGAAGTGAACTTAATATTTTTCTAACAACTGTAGAAGAAGAAACAAAAACAAAAAGATAAATGCGCCCGGAGAAATGTCTAAATGTCCACAAGTGTGGCCTGGATGTTGAAGCATTGGCTCTACAACTAGAAGATCATTGGTTCAAATCCCACTATTATCTTTTCGCTACAACTGTAGGAGAAACAGAAAGATAAATGCGCCCGGAGAAAAGACCAAACATCCAAAAGTGTGGCATTGATGTTAAAGCCTTGAATCTAAAACTAGAAGATCATGGGTTCAAATCCCACTGCTGTCTTTTTCCAACAACTGTAGAAGTAGAAACAAAAAGATAAATGCGCCCGGAGAAAAGACCAAACATCCAAAAGTGTGGCATTGATGTTAAAGCCTTGAATCTAAAACTAGAAGATCATGGGTTCAAATCCCACTGCTGTCTTTTTCCAACAACTGTAGAAGTAGAAACAAAAAGATAAATGCGCCCGGAGAAAAG